GCTGCATGCAGGGGCGTGCATTGGCTGCTGCCGCTTTGTAATTTAATTGTTTTAAACCTCAAACGAACAGGACTGCCGCTGTCACTCAGGCCCTCCAGAGCCACTGGCTGCAAAGGTTCGACCTCCAGCTGGGATCTCCTAATGCCCCTGTCAAACAGGATAGACACGGTAACAGAACAGAGGACAATAAACACACAGATGAGTTCTTGGAACTTACACTATACACGTGACCAAGTCTGCCTGAGAAGGTGGAGGGTGGGGGAGAAGCTAGTATTTAAATATAACATTGCCTCACATTTGCAGAGCACTGACTAAATGCTTTACTTGTAAGTATCTATTTACAGCTTAATGAGATAGGCACCACTCTTTCCCTCTTTTGACAGCTAAGGAAACCGAGGCTTAGGGAAAGGAAATAACCTATCCAAGATCACCCAATTTGGGGTCCTGGAGCTAGACCCAAGTCTGTCTTGATTTAAGAGCATAACTTGTTACAACCACACTGTCTAGTCCTTGCCATTCCTCTGGGGTGGCCCATATCTCCTCCCCCAATGCTAACTCTCAACCACCTCTTCCTCCTCTGACCCCACCTGTCCCAGCCCCTCCCCACCCCCCCACCAGGTGCACCTGTGGCTGAGCTCACTGCAGCGGTGCGGCAGGGGCCCCTGAGCAGTGATAGTGGACATTGAGCCACTTGCCATCCCGGCGGTGCCAGACCCGGGTCTCCTCCGACTGGCTGGTGCGAGGCCGACCCTGCCCATCGATGTACTGGGTGAGGCGGATGTAGGCGATGCAAGCTGCGTCCTCTCCGATCACATGGACGTGTGGGTTCAGGATGGTGGTGTGAATGGGCTTGCTGTTCTTGGACAGGACTGCAGGGGACAGGGCAGGGTGGGGGAGGTAGGAGGGCGTCAGGCCTGGGCACTGACATTTCCTCCCAGCCTGCACTTCCAGGTCTCACCCTCTCTCCAAGTCCCCCACACACCTTCCAGAGGCCAGGAAACCTCATCACATTAGTCTCAGTTATCCAAAAGAGGAAGGTGGGGAACAATGATAACAGCAGCTACTATGTTAACCGGACATTGTGCTGGGGGTTCTACATACATGAGCCGTATTCCTTGGTTGATATTATTTTCTTCATTCTAAGACAAGGAGACAGGCTCAAAGAGGTTAAGGAAGTTCCCCAAGTCATGTAACATTTGAGCTCAGGACCATCTTACTCTTATCTAAAGCCTATGATCTTTCTCTTCTACTAGGCTAATGTTCAGATTTCATAAGGGTTGGCCTGTCCCCAATTAGGGCTGTAGAGCAAAGTCAAGAACTTAAAATATTCAAAATTGATTTGTGATAAAAAAACAAACAAACAAAACCCCCCCAGAGGGTCCAAAGTCCAAATCGAATCATCAAAGTACCAAGCTCAGGATATTCCCAGGATCCTCTGGGGGAAAGCCAAAAGATTGCCATTATCAGCAAACACTGTGAATTGTTGCTTTTATTGAGATTCACATCTTAGTTCAATTCAAATGTTAGATAGGGGCTACATGAAACCTTCCCTCAAGCTTCTATAAACTCTGGAATTGCTTCTGGCTAATAGAATTACTTAGATAGTCTAGGGCTTACATCTGCAGCTGAGACATGGAGAGGATGGTAGGTAGTAGAGAAAACAGTGACAAAATCAAATTCAAGGCAAGATGGGGAAGACCCAGGATAAAGTGGGAAGGAAAAGAAAATATGAGGAAGAAGGATCTTAGAGTGGAGAGAAAGATGGGAGGAGGTGAATATTCAGCTTCTTATCCCGGGACCTCCACAAACTGTCCAGTGCCCAACTCCCAGCCAGGACTCCTGTCTCCCTCGATATTCAGGAAGACCCTGGCCACAACGTCCAGTCTCACAGGTCACCAACAGTGCCCTGTTACTTGCTTGTCTTGGCTTTAATGTTTTCTATTGTGACATGTGCAGACACAGCATTATCACTTGCTGAGATCATCTCAACCTCATCTCAAATGGTTTCCAATCATCTTGAAACGAGATGAGGTTTGCCCTGGCTGGTGTGGCTCAGTTGGTTGGAGCGTTGTTCCATGCACCGGAAGGTGGTGGGTTCAGTCCCCGGTTAGGGCACGTATGGCAGGCAACTGAGAAATGTTTCTCTCTCACATTGATGTTTCTCTCTCTCTCTCTCTCTCTCTCAAAAAAAGAAGAAAAAAAAGAGGCGAGGCTTACAGGAACACAGTGACCCTGATTGTGGCGACCAGCACCGCCGTGAGGCAGCTGCGGAATGAAGGGGCACGCGGGGTTCTGCAGCAGGGCCTTCAAAGGTGCCACTTACGGCCATTCTCAGGGCACAAAGAAGCAAGCACATGACCAGGTCAAATAAGAGAAAAGTGAGCAACTGCGAAGAAGAGGGTGAGCAAGGACAGAGGCAGCGGGGTGAGGGGCAGGCAGGAGTATATCAGCAGCACGAACCCACTCACGATTCTCAAAGTAAAACTTATGGAAATCCATTCCCTCCACGAGGTTACCAAGGGCTTCAGGCTCAAAGGAAGTGAGGCCTGGATCACAAATCTTCCTGCAGAAAAAAAACAAAAAACCCAGCTGGTCAACCTTCTAAGGGAATTACTTGTCTTCCTCGTCAGTGGTGTCTGTCCTGCAGCACGTTGGCCGTGAGCTGGGCCAGACTAGATGGCTTAGATCTTCGGGGTACTCCTGCTAAGCCTCTTAGCTCTGCCCTTTCAGCCCACCACCAGCACACCACAGGAGGCCTCCATCATAGGGAATCTACCTGAAAGGGCTCCCAACCTAGCGGCCCGACGTTTCACTCACACGCTGTGCCCAAGGCCCAGCCTTCCCTTTTCCCAGGGTCCTAGCTGCTTTGGGGGAGGAGGGAAAGGCCTTGAGAAACTTGAGCCTCAATGAATTGGGTCTGTACTCACGTGTAGGCCTCAAAATCTCCATTGTTGATGGCCTCAATCAGTTGTTCTGTGATCTTAATGATCTCCTGTTTTCGCACTGTGGGGGGGAAAAAAATCCAGCAATTTACCTGCGTGGGCCCTGGGAGCTCCTAAGTGGCGGAGAGCCCTCCCCAGTCCTTCAAGAATCCCGGGATCTCTTTGACAAAGACATCCCTCTTCTCTGTCTTTAAGGCCCTTTGCAGGAAGAGTGAGCCCACCCTTCTCTCCATCCCTCCTCTGTTGTCTATAGAACTAACGACCCCCTCCTCCTGAAGCCCACCCATTAGATATGGTTCTCTGGCCTTTGTCTCCCTCTCCATCAACAACTAGGTTGCAGAAAATGTTCTTGTCTTTAACAGCTGAGGAGCTTGGCACATCATGAATACTCTGTCCAGAGTCTGCATCCCATCTCCAGCAGGTTCAGCTTCTCTGAGAAGCTTCTCCTGATAAGGCTGCTTCCCTCACCTGCTTATGTCTCTCACCTGAAGGGGCTCAGTCAGGTCTCAATTACCATGCTCCCCTCCCCCAGCCCTCACTCAGTGGTCCAGAACCTAGTCCCGGGCAATAGCCAGCTCAAGAGCAGAATTCAGCCAGGGATGAGGGCTCCCAAAGCACAAACAGAGCCCTAGGATGGATGTTTAATTCTCTTCAGCCTGCTCATCTCCTCCACAGGACTTTTCTGGGATAAAGGATCTTGGAACTATCAACACTCTTTGTAAACAGAGCCTCTCACCAGAAAGACAGCTCTGTTTACCCTGGACAAACCTTGAAAAAGCTCTAAATCTCATACCAGCTCTCATGCCAGGATGTGCCCCTCAGGAAAACCAAGACAAGGCACAGACTGACAGGCAGGCAGAGTTGGTGCCCTCAGAGCCTGCACCATCCCAAGCCAAGGGACTACTGGTGACATCCTGTGCTCATGGACAGGTCACTTACAGGGAGCGTCACTACTAGCAGAGGGTGCTGCCAGTGTAACGGAGGGCTCAGACTGAGCTAACCCTGACCAGAACCCTATGCCGGCCCAGGCCACAAGCCTTTCCTCACAGGAGCGAGAGGCTGCAAGACAAATGCGAGCAATTAGAACAGCACAGCCCAGTGGCACAGCTAGACAAGGGCAGTGCAGCCAAAGGTACAGCCAGGAGGGGGCCCCACAGCCATCAGCACCTTCAGGTGAGTAAGCGGTTAGGGGAACCAAGGAGCTCTATCCACTTTCTAGAGGCAGACACACACACACACACACACACACACACACAC